GAACAAAGAAAAACTTTTTGGAGACTGTATGTTGGTGGAAAGTAGGCTTAGTAAAAGTTGCTTGCTCCACAACTCTACAGCTTCATCTCTCTATTTCTCTTATCCCTCCATCAATGATTCCCAGAGTTGGAGACAGATTGATGCACTTAGTAGCCGGGGTACTTAATATTTCGAAAAAAGGAAGCTATACATTTTTGTCATTTAACAGACGCTCTTATCCAGAGCGACTTACAGTTAGTGAGCGCATACATTTTTTTTCATACTGGCCCCCCGTGGGAAACGAACCCACAACCCTGGCGTTGCAAACGCCATGCTCTACCAACTGAGCTACACTATGCTTCCATACAAACTCCTAAATTCAAACCCTTGTTTCTTAAAATACTAGACAAACCATTCTCATCCAGCCTGTTCTTTGTTGAGCGTGTTTCTATAAATATATACACATTTTCTCAACCATCATACGTTTTTCCTTCCTTTTTTTCAATGTGGAAACTTAAGACATTGGAGGATAAGGGTTCACCTCATCACCGCTGCCTCAGGTAGAATGGGCCAGGCTGGTTTTCTTGTAGGAGACCTAGATAAACAGGCAAAGATAAACGACGCCCTGAGAGAGTCATCTCTCTTCTCTAATCCCCCGAGTCCTCCCCTGGGTCCTCCTTATCACATGTGATTGGTGGGGCTGTTTTCCCCTATGGAACTCTGGGAGAATATGTGAGATTCTAGACTGGAAACACTTTTCCTCATTACTTCTTAATGCTATCAGTGTACTTTTATCATTAAACTGGACATAATAATTATAGAGGAAACCATACATTTGTATATATCTTATTTTGGTGTAGATTTCCACTATATGTAACCTGCCTGAGTGAGTTAGCATTTTGTACTGAATGAGTGCAAACAAATGGTACCCTCCATTAGCCAATGACTGCTGATGAGTGGGCACCACCTGTGAGTCCAGCAGCCCAGTGAGTATTAGAGCTGGTTAAATGAGGCGGTGGGCTGTTAGTTTGTTAGTGAGAGCCCTGCTTAGTAAAGTGAGGGATGAGGAGACTTCTGCTCAATCTGCACACAGCTGCTCTGCTCAACTTCTCCTCACATTGCTCTGTTGGGACTGTCGTAGCTGGGGCTGGGGCAGGCAGATATTTTAGTGTTGATACACCCTTTCTCTCGCCACGGTCTGTAAATAACTTGGTTGTCCTCTTTACGCTCTCTGGGATATATTCCGATATATTCAGTCCCTGTAGGTAGGGTACTATAGTGGAGTGGATCAGGGACATGTGAGACACAGGAGGTTGGTGGCACCTTAATTGGGGAGAACAGGCTTGTGGTAATGGCTGGAGCGGAATCAGTGGAATTGTATCAAATACATCAAACTCTGTTCCAGCAATTATTATGAGCCTTCCTCCCCTCAGCAGCCTCCACTTATGTGAGAACATCGTGTTTTAACCTACTGACTTAAATATATGCCCTGTGGGAAAAATGAAAAAAAAATATATGCAGTGAAATGTGTTGTTTTACACTGTCAGCCATAGTATTACAGCACCCCTGGAGCAAATTAGGATTAAGTGCCTTGCTCAAGGGCACATCGACAGATTTTTCACCTTGTAGGCTCAGGTATTAAAAATCAGCAAACGTTTGGTTACTGGCCCAACGCTCTAACCGCTAGGCTACCTGCCACCCTACAAATAAGGGAAAATTAGATGAGAAAATATCATTTATTCCAACTTTTGTAAAGATATCTTTGTGGTCTTTCATTTTATCATTCACTTATTAGATAACTGGAATGATAAAAACAGTTTTAAAAAAACAGTAGTCTGGTGACTAAACGGTCCAAATGGGTTACTTTCTCTTCTCAAGCTGGCATAATTTCTACCACTCTTGATGCTATTTGCTTTGAGTTGTAGATGTTTCTAATTAACAACGTAGGGTTGATTCATTTGATTTCAATCCCTTTTAGACCGCACCCCTTTTGATTTGAACGAAACTTTCTATACATATTTGCCCATAGTAGAAGTGGTCAGAAAGTAACTTTTTGGACCTGAATGCCAAAACATTTAGGAGATAGAGGTGCTCATAGTTTTGCATACCCCACCCTACCATGAGACGTTCATCTCTTCATCACTGGAAAAGATAAACAGTTGTGTTTGATATAATTTTAAATCTTACCAACAGGGTTGTCAAACTATTTATAATTTCTCAAATGTTATATTTTTTGTATTGTAATTTTTTAACCATTAACGCCAATGATCTAAAAACACGTAAACTCCGATTTTGTTGTGCCTTGGACCCTATATCACATCATCTAAGGTTTTTGTATTGTGCCCGCCATCGGTTGAGACACAACATGCTCTTGAATACAGGGTGGGTGTCATGTTTTGGCTGATAAATGTACTAAAATGGGAATACATTTTAGATGGTTGACATAACTTTTATTAAAAAACATTATTTTCAAGAAATTATCAAATAGGTTCTATCCAACTCAACAATTTATATTTTCCAGCGATAAAAACATGGATGTCTCACGGTAGGTTGGGGTATGCAAAATGGGTAAACTTTCAGCACCTCTATCTCCTGAATGTTTTGGCATTCAGGTCCAAAAATAAATGTTCTGACCACTTCTACTATGGGCAAATATGTATGGTAAGTGTCGTTCAAATCAAAAGGGGTTCGGTCAAAAAGTGATTGAAATCAAATGGAATGACCCGGTAATTAAACCATGCTTTGCGTTCCTTCTCCCACAGCAGGTAGTAAAGCATGTTTTTACTACCTGGCGGCAGCGTGCTGGGCCAATAGGGCCAGTAACTGAAAGGACGCTGGTTTGAATCCCCGAGACGACAAGGTGAAAAATCTGTTGATGTGCCCTTGAGCAAGGCATTTAACCCTAATTGCTCCTATAAGGCCCTCTGGATAAGAGTGTCTACTAAATGACAAAAAATTATGATTGTGTGAGTAGTGATTTGCCCCTCACTCTGATGGCCAGTAATTCAACTCAGGTGACTACAACAGGCTAAATACTGCACCCTCACTTTGACTGATTGTTACTAGGCAGGGTTTCCTTTGGGTAATAACTCTCCATTCATTCTGTTACCTCCTTCTGACTGGTATTCAGCAAGTGTGAAGCCTGTATCTTAGTAGGCAGGTTTCCATTGACCCAGGTTTATTTGACAAAAGCAATGTCGCAAGAAAAATTATTGAGACGTGTAATGGAAAAGGCATATATAGGAGTAATGTTCTAAAGATCTACAACATTTTTATCCATTAAACAGGGGTGGATTTTTCTTTATTGTGACAATAAGGATGGAAACTGTAATTCAAATAAATGATGATTGCCAAATCTTTTTGAAGATACGTGGGGCATGTGACGTCACTGCATAACTATAAAGCTCCATTCCACCATTAATTGTAAATGCCTACATCTTGCAAAATAAAAATGTTCAGCTATAAAAATAATGTTTCTTTGCAGGACAAGGATCGTCCTGACTTTCAAGAATGCCTGAATTGCTTCACCTTGCTTTTCTGTTTGGCTGACAGGTTTCAACATCCAATTATTTCAGATCTACAGGAGTGCAAGTTTCACCATGGCGATAAATTGGCACATGATAATTATTAGAATATAGCTAATATTAGTCAATTATTGCATTCTATCCATGCTGCCTTTCACGGGCTACCTGAGACATGAAACAGAGTTGGCATACAGGCTTTCGCCAATTTATTCATGCGCAACTTGCCTAAATAGATCATGGAAACACTTCAACCACTACTTTTTTATTCGACACTGTAGTTTTCTTTTGGTGTGACGTCATTACGTCCAGCTGTTTTCATCGATACAAGATAGTTAAATGGAAAAGTGCCTTCAGAAAGTATTCACACCCCTTGACTTTTTTCACATTTTGTTGTATTACAGCCTGAATTTCAAATGTATTAAATGTAGTTTTTGTTTGTCACTGGCCTACACACAATACCCCATAATGTCAAAGTGGAATTATTATTTTTTGTTGTTGAAATTTTTCCAAATTAATTCAAAACAAAAAGCTGAAATGTCTTGAGTCAATAAGTATTCAACCCCTGTGTTATGGCAAGCCTAAATAAGTTCAGGAGTAAAAATATTCTTAACAAGTCACATAAGTTACATGGACTCTGTGTGTAATAATAGTGTTTAACATGGTTTTTGAATGACTACCTCATTTCTGTACCCCACAAATACAATTTTCTGTAAGGTCCCTCAGTCGAGCAGTGAATTCAAACACCTTTCAGCAGGATAACCTAAAAGACAAGGCCAAGTCTACACTGGAGTTGCTTACCAAGAAGACAGTGAATGTTCCTGAGTGGCCGAGTTAAAGTTTTGACTTAAATATACTTGAAAATCTATGGCAAGACCTGAAAATGGTTGTCTAGCAATGATCAACAACCCATTTGACAGAGCTTGAAGAATTTTGAAATGATTAATGGGCTAATGTTGCACAATCCAGGTGTGTAAAGCTCTTAGAGACTTACCCAGAAAGACTCGCTGCCAAAGGTGCTTCTACAAAGTATTGACTCAGGGGTGTGAATACTTACAGTACCAGTCAAAAGTTTGGACACACCTACTCATTCAAGGGTTTTTCTTTATTTTTACTATTTTCTACATTGTAGAATAAATATTAAATACATGTTTTCACTGTCATTATGGGGTATTGTGTATAGATGGGTAAAAAACAATAGCAATTTAATCCATTTTGAATTCCGACTGTAACACAACAAAATGTGGAATAAGTCAAGGGATATGAATACTTTCTGAAGGCACTGTATTTTCTATGCAAACTTTTTAAATGTTGACAAAAAATCACTGGACAAGTTAATGGAAATATAGCTAATGACACAACAAATATTTCCATTCTCAAATAATAAAATGTTTTATTTTTTGGCAGCTTATAGTCAGAACATAGTGATAACATTTAACATTTAAAAAATAGTGACTTTCTATTGTTTAGAATGAGAATCTGTTAGTGGCTGACCTGCAGTCAGATGTAGCCGATGATGTCATTACAGATAATAGGCTGTCTGCTGCCAGTCTTCATGAGGGCAGTGAATTGATAGAAGTCTGTGTCTAGATCATGCAGGCCAGAGTGGGACTGGTGGAAGAAGGGGGACTGGCGTGGGGCAGGGGCCTGCACCCCTAGGGGGCAGGAGAGTCGTTTGGGGGCCATAGCTGTCCGACTCACACGAGAAGAAGAATCTGAGGACCTCATCCTCACCCTCTCCTCTACACTCTTTGACATACCAGTTATTTTCCGCCTCATGTTGACCAAGAAGCCTCGTGCCAGTCTGCACCCAGAGCTGGGCTGCAGTTCTGCTGGTTCGGGGTAGTCCGGTAGGTCCATCCAGTTCTGTATGAGGTCAGCAAAGCTGTTGTCCCCCAGTACCAGAGGTTGTCTGTTCCGTCCCCGCATCAGCAGCGATGTGGTCCAGTCCTCAGCGTCACCGGCCTCGAATGAGGTCCACCTCTCCAGGGAGGCGTCTGATGTGGATTTGGGTCGGACACGGCCACTGGGGGCCAGGTTGGTGCGGAGGCAGGCAGAGGAGGACACCCGTACATTCCTGGTCCTCCTGAGCACCATGCCCTCGTCCTGCCAGGAGGCCTCAGAGTAGCCAGAGTCAAACTCCAGACTCTTCTCACTGCTGGGGGAGGTCAGACCCAGGCCAAGGACCAGACCCAGCCGGCTGCCTGCATCCTCCTCCTCCTCCTCCTCCTCCTCCTCCAGAGGACTGGCCAGACAGCAGGCTGAGTCGTAGGTGCTGGCCGTACTAGCGTCAGAGATGCGCAAGCGGGTACGGCGCTCCAGCTGCAGTGCCCTCTGATGGCAGGCTCGTGCCACTGCAGAGCGGTGGGCAGGGGCAGGGGTGATGGCAGGGGCAGCAGCAGGGCAGGTCCTCCTCAGGTGCTTCAGGTCCTGCAGGGACCGCATCATGTAGTGCATCTGGTCACGCAGACACAGCTGGGAGGGACAGAGAGTACACAGAGTCAGACATAGGCTGGCAGACACACACACAGAGTGCTATTCTTTTGTTGTAGCAAAGATTTTCTATTAAGCCAGTGAATACAAAATCACACAATGCATGTTGTAAATAATGTCCAGCCTGCTGCAGATGTTTGAAAGACTGAACATTCTTTATGATGTCTGAGGTGAACTCTTTCTAATAAGCACACTACATGTGTTGGTGACTATAATAGAGACCGGCTCTGTAGGACAGGCTCAGACATGCTGACTGGGTGACTGCTGCTAAGTTTCGACTGTCTGAAAGAGCTCCACCTCTTCTCTAATGTTGAAGTTACACAGCCACAGTAAACAACAACCAAGCTCTACCTGTCCTGCTCCTCACAACCTTCTCAGATATAAAACTGTATCACACCACACTTGACCAGTTTTCATATAGATCCACCCACACCAATATTAATATCAAACTCCCACCACACCTACTGTACGTTAATTTACTTCACCACACTTGTGCCTAAATGTGTGTAACACATCCATCACAAACCCACACCATAATGTCTTTGAGGTTTTATTCTACCAATACCAAACAACACTCAAGTCTCCCTTCTTGCTACCACTGCAATATAAAGGCTGAAGTCTTATGGAAATTATGGCTACTTTTCTGTAGGGGGATCTGCAGGGGGATTAGGGTTTCTCTGAAGTAGTTCAAGGCACAGGATGTAGGTATAATGGCGTGTGTCTCTTTAAGAGTGCTGTGTGCCTGCATATGAAAGTCGGCTGTGACATACTAAAGGCCATATACTCTAATTTCCTCTCCCTCTGACTCACAGGGACCCACTCTGATTGGTCCAAACCAACCAGTGAGCAGCGTCGGCTTACACTCAAAATCAAACAGGGTTGACCGAGTCCCCTGTAGCTCAGTTGGTAGAGCATGGCGCTTGCAACGCCAGGGTTGTGGGTTCGTTTTCCACGGGGGGCCAATATGAAAATGTATGCACTCACTAACTGTAAGTCGCTCTGGATAAGAGCGTCTGCTAAATGACTAAAATCTAAATCTAAAATCATAACAGTGTGTGAACCACACACAACATTACATTTACATTTTAGTCATTTAGCAGATGCTCTTATCCAGAGCGACTTACAGTTAGGTGAGTGCATACATTTTTTCATACTGATTACCTCTGAAGGAAAAAGGTGGGCTACAAAGCATACACAACAAAACACACACAAACTGATACTTCAAAAGGTGGGATCGAAGAGTAAATCATGTGGTCCTGGCAGGGGGGGGGGGGGGGGGGGGGGGGGGGGGGGGCTGATCTGACAGTGAGGTGAGAAATGTTTAGCAGACCAGAGGAGGAGAGACATGGAGCCCTCTGAGACACATGTTAATGTCTGACCATAGAAGTCACATTCAGTCTTCTCTTTCCTGTCCTGTCAGTGTGTGTGACCCTATGCCCTGTCATGCAGTGGGTAAGTGCCCCAACTCTTCCATAGTCCACTGAAGCAATTGGCCCTGTGCCAAGACCTTTAGCCCCTGTTTGCTCTCATCACAACACAGGTTGTGTGGTACTCTCATAAAGACACAACAGGCTGCCTATAAAAGTCAGACTTTTATATATAGCTACAGTATAATAAACTTCCTGCAGGGATGGAGAAAAAAAATGCCCAAAAAGGACAAAGTGATTAAACACCATCTCTACTTTCAAGAGTAGGACCTCCACAAAGTTAAATACAACTAGAAAGGAAATTATGATGGAGCCCTTTTCATACAGAGAAGTTTTAAATAATCTCTAGCAAATTAAACACCCATATGCCTCCTAAATTTACAGCACATTAACAAACTGCTATTTGTTTGTTTACCCGACACAAGGCATAGCCTACAGCAGATAGCACAACTCTGCAGAGGCATCTATAGTTATTATGCAGGACAACGTAGTCTGTGGACAGAGCGTTGCACTGCAGATGTTGTCCCCGTATGCTGGTGTATAACGCCATCATTTCAGGGACTGACAGTTAATTTAGTGTCTATAAATACATTGAGCCTATTTCATTTTAAATATGGTTTATCTAATTCATTGTCGTTTTACGCACAGAATAATGTCAATTTTATAAGACTGTGCACCAATTACAAGGCCATTGTCCACTACTGTACTGTTTTGCATGATAATCTATGCTTAGGTTACAGAAGGGAAAAATACTTACCATTTTATTTATTTCAGCATCACCGTCACAATGAACTCCTAAAATAGAAAAAAATAGGAGATAAATTCCTGCACGTTTTAGTCTAGAAATACAGTAAGAGCAAAATCCTTCATAATTGTATTTTATCCACTTGAACTAGTCTGTTGATACTCACATTTGATATGGCACGTTGCATCCAGCTTGACATTAATCCATAAAAAGTTGATATCTTCCCATAAAGTCAATTTTGCGCACAGCTGTTGATATGAATCCTCGCGACTGAAGGCGCACGGTGAAGTTGTAGTGATTTTGTCCGTTTCGTTTTCTCCAGCATGCGCTCTCCAGCCAGTTATAGAGCGTCGCATCTCTGAAGCAGCCAATCAGAGTTTGAAATCTGAGCAAGTGAATAACTAGCTAGTCGCCACCTCTTTACTATGCACATCTGGATCATGATCTTCTAAACATTCACACATCATGCGCTTGTCATCGGGTGACATAAATTGCATTTTAAATGGTTTATGTGTCACTGGCCTACACACAATACCGCATAATGTCAAAGTGGAACTATGTTTTTCTTAAATACTTTGTCATAAAAATGTAGCCTATGTTTTTAATAATTATATTTATATTTATAAAGACAGATGTGTGCAAATATTTGTGTTCTTTTTTTATACTAAACATGCCCGTTTTTTATTTTACCCCTAGGGTATGCTACCATAAATATAGATTGAGAAATTATTCAGGCGTCTCTGAGGTCACGAGTTCAATTTGTCACGAGGATTATTCTCTGGAAGAACCCTGTGGAACCAGCAATCCCAAATGGGAAACAGTTAAGTCTTTAAAGTATGTGAGGCTGCATTGTGCTCTTGCCGATTATTTTAATTTGAAGGTATGCAAAGATTTTATGGTATGCCAACAAATTGAACTTTATTGACTGGTCAAAATTAAATCAGCCCTAAAATACATGTCAAATCTGCCCTATATGTTGTGGAGGCTCCAACGGAATGTAATCTATAGTCTAAGTACATTAAACACATAGCTAAGTGCTTTAAGTATATTGTGCACAAACATGACTGAAATGGTTGAAATGACAGATTAATTAAATGTTTGAAAATTATAGCACATGAGGGTTGCCACGGGGATATAAATGTATAGGTCCACATATGTCGCCATCTAGTGAGATAGATGCTGTACTGTATGGAAAGCCACTGAGCAGGTGATAATCACCTACTGTCAGTGGGTCATCACCCATTTTCACCATTCTTGTAATGTATTGTTATTCATGTCAGTGTGAAGGTGAACAATGTACAACTGTTCACTGTTAATTGGACAAATCCAAATGTGATGGTTTACTATTCATGTGCAGATGTGCTCATCTCATCAACCATGATGTGACCAGATCTGTGTTGGTGCATCATATACCCGTGACATGTCTCAACCTGCTTCTACAACTTGTCCTTTTTCTGGAAGTGAGTAGTTCAACACATTTAGTCCACACATATTTTTCCATACAGTGCAAAATCAAATGTATAACCTAGTTCTCCAGATGCCTGACAACTCATTCCTTAAATGCTTATTCTAATGTACTAAAACTAGCCTCAGCTACCTCAATTACATCGTGTAGTGCCCATGGGGCTGATTTTATAATTATGTGCCATGTTTGAATTAAGTAATTCACAAGATGTTTCCATCTGCTTTTAGGGTCTTTTGGGTGTGTTTTTATGAAAGGGCCACTGCTTTCTATAAAAGGGTCCCTCTCCATAAATTAATGTCTCTGAAAAAATGTCCATTAACAACTGCACACTTCAATTATAAACCTTTTTATGTGTGTAATAGCAGCTGTAAATGCTGCTGCCTACACATTTAGGATCAATTATGGCTGTTTTCTTTAAATGCATTAGGCCTAAGTAATTACACTGTGCCACTTCTTTTGTGGGTTTGTGACCATTACTGCATTATGACGGATCGAAATGTGAATTCATTTTAGGAACATCCAGGTCTTTCTTTCTCCCTGCTTGGTTTACATACTATGTCTAATGTGTCAGCCAGTATACATGTATTGCTATGGAGTTTTCATGTTTCCCAATCTCTTTCCTGTTAATGTGATTGTTAGATAATACAACATGTTATCAGTTAATCTTGATTTTAGGATCATAAATGTGGCAAGACCAGGCAGAGTTGATGTGGGCATGTACTGTATATCTGAGGTGGAGTACAGTGCATTCGGAAAGTATTCAGACCCCTTGATTTTTTGCACATTTTGTTACGTTACAGCCTTATTCTAAAATTGATTATTCTTTTTTTTTCTTCATCAATCTACACACAATACCCCATAATGACAAAGCGAAAACAGGTTTTTAGACATTTTTGCAAATGTATTAAAAATAAAAAACAGAAATACCTTATTTACATAAGTATTCAGACCCTTTGCTATGAGACTCGAAATTGAGCTCAGGTGCATCCTGTTTCCATTGATCTTCCTTGAGATGTTTCTGCAACTTGATTGGTGTCCACCTGTGGTAAATTCAATTGATTGGACATGATTTGGAAAGGCACACACCTGTCTATATCAGTGGCGATTTTAGCATGTAAATATTGGTGGGGAAAACAATTTTTTTGTTGGGGGGGTGCATGCCAGCAAAGCCACTACTCAACACAACACAACACAACATAACACAACACAACACTAAACAATACATTAATGGCACTATAACGGTGACAAACGGTGCCCACAAACGGTTAGGGCCTACATAAAGCTGTCCCAACAGCAGAGTCCCAAAAGCAGAGTCCTAACAGCAGTCCAAACACCTTACCACTGCTACACCTGGCTATCAGCGGAGTCTTGTCTGGCAGCGAAACAGTTCATTCAGCTTCAATTACTGCCTTTTAAAAAATCCGTAATTTAGATTAAGACATTAATGAGCGAGCTAGGACGGACGTAGTCAATATAACTATTTGTTCAGCACTTTTGAAATGTACAGCACAGAATTCAGAACATGGGCCGTTCTTACAGTGTTCTCCCTGTACACCAAGTCAGAACCGTAGGATAAATAAAGGGTGCATATAAGCAGAAAATGAAAGTGCTTAAAATATTTGATGATTACATTTCTCTAAAACGGGTTATAGGCTACATGTGCACCACCAAGTCAGAACAGTAGGCGAAATTAAGAGGGGAAAATAGACCTAATTATTACACATGGGCTACTAAAAGCTTACTACACAACATACACTTAGTATTACTTTCTTACCTACAGAATACATACAGTGAGTGAAAAAGTATTTGATCCCCTGCTGATTTTGTACGTTTGCCCACTGACAAAGAAATGATCAGTCTATAATTTTAATGGTAGGTTTATTTGAACAGTGAGAGACAGAATAACAACAAAAAAATTCAGAAAAACGCATGTCAAAAATGTTATGAATTGATTTGCATTTTAATGAGGGAAATAAGTATTTCACCCCTCTGCAAAACATGATTTAGTACTTGGTGGCAAAACCCTTGTTGGGAAATCACAGAGGTCAGATGTTTCTTGTAGTTGGCCACCAGGTTTGCACACATCTCAGGAGGGATTTTGTCCCACTCCTCTTTGCAGATCTTCTCCAAGTCATTAAGGTTTCGAGGCTGACGTTTGGCAACTCGAACCTTCAGCTCCCTCCACAGATTTTCTATGGGATTAAGGTCTGGAGACTGGCTAGGCCACTCCAGGACCTTAATGTGCTTCTTCTTGAGCCACTCCTTTGTTGCCTTGGCCGTGTGTTTTGGGTCATTGTCATGCTGGAATACCCATCCACAACCCATTTTCAATGCCCTGGCTGAGGGAAGGAGGTTCTCACCCAAGATTTGACGGTACATGGCCCGTCCATCGTCCCTTTGATGCAGTGAAGTTGTCCTTTCCCCTTAGAAGAAAAACACCCCCAAAGCATAATGTTTCCACCTCCATGTTTGACGGTGGGAATGGTGTTCTTGGGGTAATAGGCAACATTCCTCCTCCTCCAAACACGGCGAGTTGAGTTGATGCCAAAGAGCTCCATTTTGGTCTCATCTGACCACAACACTTTCACCCAGTTCTCCTCTGAATCATTCAGATGTTCATTTGCGAACTTCAGACGGGCATGTATATGTGCTTTCTTGAGCAGGGGGACCTTGCAGGCGCTGCAGGATTTCAGTCCTTCACGGCGTAGTGTGTTACCAATTGTTTTCTTGGTGACTATGGTCCCAGCTGCCTTGAGATCATTGACAAGATCCTCCCGTGTAGTTCTGGGCTGATTCCTCACCATCCTCATGATCATTGCAACTCCACGAGGTGAGATCTTGCATGGAGCCCCAGGCCGAGGGAGATTGACAGGTCTTTTGTGTTTCTTCCATTTGCAAATAATCGCACCAACTGTTGTCACCTTCTCACCAAGCTGCTTGGCGATGGTCTTGTAGCCCATTCCAGCCTTGTGTAGGTCTACAATCTTGTCCCTGACATCCTTGGAGAGCTCTTTGGTCTTGGCCATGGTGGAGAGTTTGGAATCTGATTGATTGATTGCTTCTGTGGACAGGTGTCTTTTATACAGGTAACAAGCTGAGATTAGGAGCACTCCCTTTAAGAGTGTGCTCCTAATCTCAGCTCATTACCTGTATAAAAAACACCTGGGAGCCAGAAATCCTTCTGATTGAGAGGGTGTCAAATACTTATTTCCCTCATTAAAATGCTAATCAATTCATAACATTTTTGACATGTGTTTTTCTGGATTTTTCTGTTGTTATTCTGTCTCTCACTGTTCAAATAAATCTACCATTAAAATTATAGACTGATAATTTCTTTGTCAGTGAGCAAACGTACAAAATCAGCAGGGGATCAAATACTTTTTTCCCTCACTGTATCTCCCTGGCATATTACATCATTTATGCAGCAGCAATGCAATACATTTTTGGACTCACCTTGTTGTGCTGTGCTCACTTGATCAGGAAGGTGGCGCGGCGGTCCTTCGTGGGTAAATTTTGTCATCAAACTTTATCATCAAAGTCTGGCATTCTCTGGATTTGTGGTGCTTTCAAGACAACTGGGAATTCTGAAAAAAACAAGGTTGAATCATGATGATGTCAGTGATCTTCAGGTCGTAGCTCTAGAAAGAGGCCCTTGTTCTCGACTTACAATTCCGAGTTGGATGACCGTTCAAAACATATTTTCCCAGTCGCAGCCAGTTTTTTCCAGAGTTCCCAGTTATCTTTAACTCACTGAAGTCAGATTTCTCAGTTCCGAGTTAACAGTTGTTTTGAGCACGGCAGAAATCATGCTGGATTGACAGCATGGCCAATGTTGAATGTTTATCATTTTAAGCTTAGAAAAGAGACCCTTAAACCCAGAATTGGGACCAC